ATGTTAATAAGTGGAGCAAAAATACCACAACAACTGTATAAGTACTTCAAACGTCAAGTTGATTAAATAACGGAATAAATTTGCTATGAAGTTCAATTGAGTTTCTCTTTATACACTTATGAGGTGAGCCAACAGTCACTTTCAAACGCCAAACATCCCGACGAACTAAGTAAAGGAGAACTAAAGGAGAAGGAAGTATATGATATATACTAGTCTAGTAAACTAATAAAGTCAGTACTTTCTAACTTAAATAATTTATTTTGGGCAGAAACCATCATGCCAAAAGTACATCGATCTGTATGAGATTTTTTATGTAACTTTTACGTAACTTTATAACAGATTAGAAATTAGCAAACTTGTTTGCAAATACTGCCGAAACACAATTTCATTACAATTATATAATTGTAATGAAATTGTGTTTCGGCACAGTTTTATTTATTTATTTACAATTCTTTGGACAAAAGAAAATAATAAATAAGGTTCTATAAATTCAAGATGAATAGGACAAAGACAGTATGTGCTTCGATAAAAGATATTTGATGATATAAACAGATAGGTTGGGTACATAGCTATTTATAAATTCGCATCAGTTATAACTCACGAAAATAGTTTTAAATTTGTATATAAGGAGCTCTAAAATTTAACGTTGCTTACTGAAGCGTAGGAATTCATATACCTATTTTAAAAATAGTTATTTTTTACTTTTTCCTATATATTATACTAAAGCTACATATTCGAAAATATTGCATTTTTAACAAGACTGCTCTCGTTAAACCTTACCTATATTTAATTCTAGAAATTAAACAATCTGTGACACGAATAAAATAGTATCCTTATATGTAATTAGTTGGTGGATGGAGAAATGGATCTTGGTGTTCATTTATAATTATTTTAAATATATATTTAGACGTAGCCTTTAATTTTTGATGATGTGAAGAATTTAACAGGGTAATTGATTCATAAAATTACTAGATAATATTAAAATTATTTAATTTATTTTTACTCACTGGCAAGAGCAGGCAAGCAAGACGAATTTTCACGAAGTCATTTAAATGGGTGACATCATGTCGAACATGATAAGGTAGTATAGGATGTATCAGTTTTACGATTAGCGTTGGTAATTATATATTATATATTTTAACCGATTCCAACAAATTAGCACTAAGCACTAAAACATTTTAAATGTATTAAACAATAAATAATAGCCTTGTATAAAGATCATAAAAGGCTATTTTTTGGAAGTCGACTAGAATAAAAACAGAAATGAATTTTTAAATTTGTTAAAAACTCGCTGCCTTTTATTTTCTTCTGATATAAAGCCCTTTTAACTCGATTTATTTTATTTCAAACATATTTTATGATTTGTGAAGGAAGATAGCAACTTGCTAAATAAACCGTGAAATTGTTAGAGGTCGGTGTCTAAGTAATGATCAAAACGAGGCCTTACGGTAAATTGAAGTTTTAAATGTTCACCACTTTTAACTACACACTGTATAAAATGTTGGTTTTACGGAATTAAATTTAATGCTAGCAACAGTACACTGCTACAGGGCCAAGATTTTTTCAATAATAATAAAACCAGTGGCGCTAGAACCCTTGGGGCCTCAAATTTTCTGTACCTGTTTAAAAAAAATCTTGCCATATATAAATAAATTTTGTACCTTTTAGTGAATTTTGAAGTCGGCTTATTTTTTTATATTTGATTATTATGTTAAGGTTAAGATGTGTTTGAACTTAAGTTTATAAGTTTAGATTTAAATATTTCACGTTTTGACTAAAAAAGATGTTTTTGTTTTTTTTCGGCTCGTAGTGTTTAGCAGGTAATAATGCGATTGGTTTTAATATCTCTGTGTACAACTAGTACTTGCTTAAATTATGAAAAGGAAGTTCGTGGGGGAATCATCATTGATTTACATCAAAAAACCAATGACAGAGAAGTTGTGTCCGTGATTCATTACTGAAGTTCTGTCTTGAGTAGCCCTAACCTATCGTCATTCTATCCTCAGCTTGTCTCGGGGCATTATAGATGTTGAGATTCTTATTGTTTGAATTTGGTCAGACTGACCACCGTTGGGTAGGCGATCGACCCCGGCTTCTCCTGCCATCACTCCTCCATACCAGTTTGTCGAGACTATTCCGTTTTCTTCTGGAAATATGACCAAAGTAGCTTACAATACTATAGGTATATACACCGGTTCATAACAAGATACGAACGCTTGTTTAAAAACTCTATACATAGGCATATGTACCATATCGGATTTTACTCCCGTATAAATATATAAATGTACTTTAAAGCTCAAGTAGCTTAAACGTTCTGTCTTTTTAACCACACGTCACTTGGTCAATAAATTAACGTGACAAAACATTTCATGGAAGACCGTCATTATTTATAGGCATTTGCTTTCCACTTGGCTAGTTTTACAGAATATTACTACAAAAGACGACGTAAAAAGTTTTCGTATGAAGTATGAATGCTACTTGCTTATACTATTTTTTCCTTTGTACAAAGTATTTTTCTGCACGAAGCACGCATTGTTTACTTGAGGTAGTTTTTTATTAGCTGTGTTTTGAAGTTTCACCCGCGTTTACGCTTAAAGACCTCCTTGATATAATATGATCTATCCAACATAAAAATTATCGCTTTAAGATATTATAGTTTATCTATATTATTCAAAAAAATTAGTAACTTTATTAAACAAACGAAACAGTATTTCGCCTGGTTCGTTTGGCCAGGTCACCCGTCATGTTTGTTACTAGCTTAGCAATGGATGATGAACATATTAATTAAGTTTTTTTAGGAATCGCATTCAGGTATACCCTTATTCTATGAGGCTAGAATAAAGTCGTTTAAATAATACAAATAATTATTTTTGCGTATACAAATGAAAAAGAATAAAAAAAATGATCGTACATAACTACGGAGAACGATAGGAAAAAAGTTATATTCGCTTCATTGAACTTAGGCAAGAAGTGAATGATTTAAGAAGGTCCTAATCGCTGTTTCTTACACTTTTGTGGCACTGACTTATTTCAACCATTTCTGATTTATTCTTAAAAGTTGGAGTATACCTTTGAGTACTTTTTGGCTGGAAATTGCGTCTAATGTCTCAAAAGACGTACGTTTGTAAACTTTTGTAGCAGATGTGTATTTTATATATTATATTTAATATTCCAACTAATCATTAAGGGTGTGATTACAGATAGGTTAGAGCGTTCAATTAAAGTCAGTTCTTAATATTCTGAGATGTCTTATATTTAGCAATCTACTTGATGTACAAGAACAGCGATTATGATTGGCTAGAACACAGACGCTGTCCTTAACGATCATAAAACTAATAATTGAAGCGTTTTATTATTACACCAACATAATGATCACGTGACACGACCCCGTGTTGGATACACGGGGTCTATGGGGGGGTATTTAAAAACAGTAACTTATTTAAGAAAAGTATTGTAGATCTTATTAGCAACAAAAATATAAACGGATAAGTACAACTGCAGCTTGTTGATCCTTATAAAGCTTGTCAAGCTTTGACTATTGCCATTGTAGGTTCATTTAAGTCTTATACGAGTAGTTGTTTAAGGTTGTATTATTGCATATAAAAAACGAAAAATTAGTTATAACCCACTGGCTATGATTAAGATGCAATAACTTCAGCTTAAATAGTAAATTATGAAATAGTTACTTGTAGGTCATAAACACAAATATTCCCAGCATACAATATACGCTAAACGTCAACTATGAACCAGTTTACTATAGTTATAAATCTGGAAGTGCAGGTGAGAGCAGAATCGTGTCGAAAGGCGTGAAATTAAACAGAAATTCGGACACGAACTAATTCAACGCCAAACTAAGATCTAGTTGAGATTGCGTCTAACTTGCTTTAAGTACTTTGGTATTCAGATTAGATACCCACAAACCAAGAATTAGTTGTACACGTACTTGTATATTACATCAATATCCATTTACCGTAGCTTATTATATGTATTTTAATATGCCCTTCTCTAGGTCGGTAATCAAAAAAGTTACATTGTTATGTTCCCTGTTTAACCTGATTATTTGCTTATTAATTCAATAAGAATGACAGCAGACATGTTAATATGTCTGCTCCATGCCCCATTACGGGACTTTATATATAATATTTGAAATGGAAAAAAAATATTACAAAATGGCAACCACGAGATGGAAAAAGGAAAAGAGGAAGACAGAGAAAGAGATGGGCAGACGGTATAAATAGAATAGAAGGCACGTCTTGGACAAGAAGAGCTAACATTAGAAAATAATGGAAGCAGCTGGAAGATGCCTATATGTGACAGGATACGATCACTAAAACCGACACATCTGATGTATTAGATTAAGTTAGGTTATGTAACTTAAACCAGTGTTTATGTTGGGTTTCAGCAATAAAGGCTTAATAATAATACATAATAATATATGTAATGGCGTAAACTATATGTCACAGGACTTATAAATTTAAAACGTCAAATGATTACTATCGACCATTAAATAGTTGTTAACTTATAGAACTAGCAATATTGGCAAATACTGCCATTAACGCATGTGGCTTTGATGTTGTTAATTTATAAGGTTTATGACATAAAATGACAATGACAGCAGATAACACCATTGCTCTGATATATATTACGTTATTTCATAAATTATTTTTATATTTTAAATTCTAATAATAATATTATATGCCTTTAACTCTTTACACCTTGAATGTTTGTGAATGGCTGTTCTAACATTTATTGTAAATATAGGCAAAAATATTTATAAATAAAAACAGCAAATGCTATCGAAAATATTTTCCATTGAAAATGTCCATGTTTCCATTTCATTGCAATGCTTGCGAGTCGCATCTTTCGACCGTTATTGAGTCTGCTGACTCGGAAACGTTGCACTGATTAATGTGCCTTTTAGATTTTAAAATAACTTCGTGGAAATAATTTTTATTCGCTAAACAGGAAAGGATTTTCGATGTTGTTGTAATGACTTAAAGTCATGTGTCCCCCATGTGGTGAAGAGGGCATCCAGGAATACCAGCCTGATCGGTCTTGGGTAGCTCTTTTGACTTCACACTCATCGACTTCAAGTCATTCCAGCCAGTTTTGTAGTAGGCCGCTAAGTTTCCTTTTCTTGGGGATTTAAGTTGAGAGCTGGTTGGCCAATGTGACTTGTTCTTCCGGAACCTGTGGCCCATCGACTTTAATTTTCGGCGTTTTATTTTTCTGTTAATTGGCACCTCTTTGCAATAAAATTTGTCATAAGTCTATGACAGGTAATATTCAAGTAATACAGTCTCATAATCTCAAAAAAGCATTTGAATAATCAAGTTTTTTGGTAGGTTTTAGGGCTAGGAATGTTATTAAAGTACCAGACACCACAAATTTTAAGAGCAGTGTTGGCCTTGGGTTAACAATCGATGTTATGTGTCAGGCACAGAAGAAAATAAAAAGATCAAAGAAGCGGATGGAATCTGAGGACAAGACCTACAAAGGATTGTTGTGCCACTGGATGTGCCACTTATTATTATTAAATTTACTAGTTAATACAACTGTTGCAAAATGATTATTGCATACTATACATTGGGATTAAATTAATGGACTGTTGTTTCATCCGATAAAATGTATGAATGGCGCCAAAGCTGTCAAAGCTACAGATTAATACGGATATATATTATGTATATAATTATGTCATTGGCTATAGAAATTGCGCGCTTCCTACCAATAAAATATAATAAAAACTCCTTGCTCGTTAGTATTAGACATATGCTATATCGTAATGAACAATTATTAATTATAACATTTAGGTTGAATAGTGATGTTATAACGATGTTATTTAATTGTAATATTGTGTTACAAATACATCATTATACAAACGTTTTGACATTCACGTTAAAGCGAACACAAGATCTGATAAATATGATTATTAAATAACAAATTTATTATTATTTTGTTTGGTAACTCACTAGTTACTTAACCTCAGAACTAGCTTATTTTTTTTTTTTTATAGAACAGGGGGCAAACGGACAGGAGGCTCACCTGATGTTACCGCCGCCCATGGACACTCTCAATGCTAGAGGGCTCGCGAGTGCGTTGCCGGCCTTTTAAGAACGCTCTTTTCTTGAAGGACCCTAAGTCGAATTGGTTCGGAAATTATTCAGTGGGCAGCTGGTTCCACATAGTAGTGGTGCGCGGCAAATACTATGATCGTGGCTTGCTGCACTCAACTAAAGATAAACAGTTAGTAACATGTTCCCGCCTTCTTAAATTTATAAACAGTTTTAACAATACACAAACTCTCTGAAATATATGACTTAAAATGTCTAAATAAACTTTAAGTGTTGATTTAGCGTAACAAAGTTGAAGAATAAATTTATTGTAGAAACTAAAGAGCAATTTATTCGCATGGAAGTCTGGAGATGATAAATGCCGCTGAAGACTTTTTAATGACGTTGAAATCTAAAATAGAGGTATATCTTAATATATATATTTCTTCTGTGCGTGTGTATGTGACTGAACTCCTCCTAAACGACTGGACCAATTTTGATGAAATTTTTTGTGTGTGTTCAAGGGGATCTGGGAATGGTTTAGATTCACAAATCAGCCCGACAGATGGCGCTGCAGTCGGTACTTTCATACTTTGTTTAATATCTTAATCGGTTGAAATATCATGCAGGACAACGTCTGTGGGGTCCACTAGTTTGAGTATAAATTTAACGATTTACCTATCTAGGCTAAATATTTAACATACAACCAATTAAGTTATTCCGCATGAAGCATTCAATAATCATTATTAAAACTGTTTAAAAAAATTATAGGTCTAAGTAGCATATATATATAATATAATGTAATTCTATACAATGTCGAAAACTTTGTTAAAATCCAGTTAAAATATGTATATAGATTCTTACTATACACTTTAATTAACTTTATTGTCCAATAAAATGGTATGGATTTAAACGCATTGAAACGGCTTAGTACCACATTTTCATAAAATTTAAAATAGTAGATTCTGTGTTTGCTCATGGTTTATTTATTATTCTAAGTTGAAAATAAATTATTTTATGTAATTTTTCTATTCGCGGTAATAACATATTCCTTTTTTAAATTCTTTCGTTTAGAAAAATTAAGGTTATTATCAGACTTGGCTCTGCCCTTAACTATATCTGCGTCTGATAAGGATAAACAATTACCATATACTATTTTACAAGGCTAATGGCCTAGGCCATACTTATTCATATATAGGTCCTATAACTGTAGAGTATACCTGCAATAAATAATCTACTGCGTAAAATTGATATTTTATAACATTTTGATTGACGCTGGTTCATAAATTCTTTCACCAATATAAAGCAAAGTAAAACAGGTTATATAATATTGCGGTCAATAAGATCTCAATTTTTTTTTTATACATGTGTCTCCACTAAGACATCTTGGAATATTACGATCTAGCCTAACTTAAGACTAATAAGTAATTAAGTCTAACCGAATTTATTAGAAAGGATATTTAAATAAGATCTCAAATGAAAAAAAATATCGCAAAAACGGGAAAATGATTTTCTTTTGAGAACTTTTCTTATATTGAACGCGCTATCTCGAGTCCAATCTTAGGAACTACGGCTTGGAATTGAAAAAATATTTCCCGTTAATAAGGAGGATAACACGCAATTAATAACAGAAGATGAAACCCTAGGGCATAGCCAGTCTGTCTATAAACTCACTATCACTCCCTTTCTTTTTAGAGCATATTGTACATCACTTTGCTATACAAAAAAAAACATACAATCATGTTGATGGGGCTCTCTGACTATTGCAGTGCGTCTACAATGTTTAATTGCGCAGTTGTGAACTGTTTGTATGCCACGCTGCGCATTGCGCAAGCGACCTGTATCTCAGGTAAGGCGCGTGCGAGGGAGCCCTAACAGCTTGCTAGCCGTAATAGCAGGAAGGCTAAATTGCCCTTAAATGACTCATTGCAATGGATTTCATTGCCACTTTTAATTTTATCATTCAATATACTTTAAAGCTAACCTACTAATATATTATTTAGGACAATATTGTAACGAACACAATAATAACAATCATATGTAATATATGATTGTCAGCTTGAATTAATAAATTACTATTATTGTTATATAAAATCAAATCAATGAAACAGACAAGTACTGTGTCTATATACAAAAACCTATTAACATTGTTGTAAATTTTGTGAATTTTCTAACACGTAATCTTCATCGCAATGCAGGATATTATGTAAATATCTACATTCTACGTGCCTCGCTACCATTACCAAGTGTTACCGCACCCATACAAGATACATCGTTAAGATTTAGACGTGAATTAAACGAATTTTCTTTTATACCTAACACTTCTCCAGCTGCGATTACATCATACGAAATGAAGAGACTTTAAGATTCAACTTAAGATATTACAGGAAATTATGGAACATGTCTAGTAAAGAATGTATGGCGTCTTGCAAAACAAAGTGTACAAAAGTAAAATTTGTAATAAAAATAAATGTATGTAAAATTTGATGTTGTTTTTAAAGAATGTTTTCATGAACCAATTTAGGATCGTAAAAAAATTTCCCGAAATAAAATATGTCGAACACAAATGTATTTCTCAAAATGACACAAGAAATGTATACTTAGGGTGAAGGACTGAGTAAGCCCTCATCTCGCTTCTTAAGTGTCACTTCTCATGATATAATTTTGCATGAATCACCTCAACTGTACTAACCGAACCATATACATTTCAACTACTGTCCCAATTTCTCTTAAATTATATCGGCTTCGTATGAACTGTAACTTCAAAAAATCTAAAGGAGGCATATTTTTAAACAAACTTTACAATTTTTTATTTCTCTGTGCTCAATCAACATTCGGTAAAGTCAAACAATCAAAAATCGACTACAGTTGTCAGACACAAAAGGCTTTAAGGCTTAAAGCTATAATAATCACAGACACAAGTGCAATCTGAGGCTAAAAGGTACAAGTTTGTAGCAACACTTGAGTAGTAATTACCAGTATAAGCATTATTATTACAAAGTTCTCACTATTATATTTGACATACAGACGTATACGAGTAGGTATTTTAATGTGTACATTGATTTTGTTAATCAAATCTTTAATATAAGGGCGCCAAGTCAAAAAAGTCAAAAGTCAAAAATCATTTATTCATATAGGTAACACAATGTACACTTATGAACGTCAACAAAGAAATATACATTAAATTCCTCTAATTTTACATTTAATGCCATTTCTCAAATCAAGGGCGTAGAACGGAAAAGAAAAACTGGCAATAAACTCTCCGTAACTCTTATAATCGCCATGTTTTTTTTTCACAACGTCTGTAAGGAGCTGCAACCATTACACCATGTTCCACATGACATCTTAAGTAATAAATTATTAAAAATAAATTAAAAACAAAGATTTGTCCTCTACCAGCAGGCGGCACTGCGAAATAGGAGCACGCACTTACATTGTCGTGGGAACGAAATAGCTAACATCACCGCATACATGAATTCAAGTACGACCAGTCACCACAACATGGTCAGCCATCGGCCCCCTCGCCATATTTTAGGGAGAGAGACAACCCGACGCATGCACTCCAAGCCTATATTAAGTACAGAAAATAACCTTTCAATTAGTTTCTTCACGTCTCCTTTCACTAGTGTTATTGAACACACAATTCGTGTAACTTAACAAAGGGCCATGGCACGTTTCGGCGAACAAAATTAAGAACATTTAAAATTATCCTAAATTTATTGAATGTAGTTAAAAATAATTTGTAACTCCGTCGTACCTCGTTGAGAAATCGATTTACTTTTAACAACGGAATTTAATTTGATTTGTGGCTTTTTGCACGATTGGAAATTTCGTACAGAAATTTTACAAAGCTGTATTTGGAAATTCCAAATTAATTAAAAATACTTTTGTTTTAAAGAAAACAATGAAACTCTGGCAATCCCGGACAAACATGTAGCAATAAAATATTTAATTTGTATTACTCGTTTGGATTATTTGACTTTAATTTAATTTATGGCAACATTTTGTGTTTGCTTAATAAGGCTTAATTTCATTTACCGTTATTTTCTACCCTTGCCTCACTGTTATTTAGTACTGGGATTTCGTCTTAGTATGAATAAATTGGCTTCGAACCATAAATACTATACTTTATTTCTAATACAATTTGGTGG